CCTTGTGGGTGTTGCCTTTGCTTTATTTTTGTTTTGCAAGCACTTCCTCGCTTTCTAGCACCAGCTCCTCTTGTGCATTTCCCATGTAATCCTAGAGTCAGCCATTTCTCCAAGCCGTGGAGCTTCCTTCTACTGGAAGTGCTGTCAGAAACCAAGACTGGGCAACGGGCATCCTGCTACCAGCCTGCAGTTGCCTCCAAGCTCCCTCTGTTGATTGAGCCAGGACACACACATGTGTAAATCAGCCTGTGAGATGCACAAGTGTGACAGTCAATCTTAACTGTCAACCTGAATGCCTCGAGAGACATGAAAGATTAGTGAAGCACACTGCTGGATGTACCTAGGTGGCCATGGGTGCATGACCTTGGGGACTACATCTGGTCCTCTGCCCTTCCTCTTGGGCTCTTCTGGTCTCTGCTTCCTGGATGCCATGAGGTGAGCTGCTTTTCTCCACCACACCCTTCTGACATGGTATTTCTGCCTTGGAGCCAGCCGACCATGGACTGAAATCTTTGAAACCATGAGCTGAGATAAACCTTTTCTCCTTGTGTATGTCAGGTATTTCGTCACAGCAGTGGAAAGGTGAGTAATACAGCATGCCTGTCCACAATTCCATACATAATCATCTCTATGTTTAGCTACATATGGGCTTATACTGGGCTCAAGCCTTAATAGATCCTTGTGACCTGTAACTTCCACTCCAACAATGGCAAGTACAACTCCTACGTAACAGGGTCCACTCCTTTTGGGGTTGACTTTTCAGAGTTGCTTCCCCATCTTTTTCCTGGCATTCTAAACCCTCAAGAGGTTAACTGCTAAATATCTGTAGATTGACAGACCAGAAAACGTGGTGACCCACAGAGACAGCAGTGTGCTAACACCCTTCTTTATCTCCTAATTCTGCACCTCACTCAGCATGATGCATGTAAATTGCTTTGTGCTTTAACTTGCAATAAACATTGCGTGTGCTTGGCTAAAGAATTGCAGGGACTAGCCTCAGGGAAGTCAATGTCACTTGCAATGTTCTAGCTGACAAAAGGAAAAAGAAAAACAGCAGTGATCGTTAACTATGATGTGTCAAGTAAGAACTGCCTAGTACGGTGGTGGCAAACCTATGGCACGTGTGCTGCAGCCAGCTGTTTGTTATCACTGAAAGCTCTAAAAGGTTCACCATTACTGGCTTAGCAGACCAGTCAAGCGCTGGATGTGCCTGGATGATTGACACACAGGCCACAAACTGAGGAGGGAAGGCCCGCCCCAGATGTGGGTGGCACCAACCAATGGCCTTGTGGCCTAGGTGCAGTAAAAAGGGAAAGAAGGAAGTCTCTTCTTTGTCTTCTTCAGAGAAGCTCTGGTCTTCACCATCACCTTTGGACATCTGTCTCATTCCTTCAGGCCTCCAGCGCAGACTCCAGCTTTCCAACACAGGCTCACACCAGACCTGGCACTGCGCTCTAGCCCTGTAACCTTCGACTGGCTCCTCCCACTCTCCAGAGTTCGGTCTGCCATTTTGCATTGTTCCACTCCTGATTCCACAGGCGGCCATTGTAAGCCTATCTTGTAAATCCCTTATATAATCACACATATATTTTGAACTAAATCTTTTCCTTTAGTGAACCCTGATACAAAGGCACACTCTGGATGACAAAGGCCTTGCCTCCCACATGTTCTTCCTGCCCATTGTTCCCTGCATCATCTCTCCTTCCTCATAAAAGTCCTTTTGCATACCTGAGATCCGTAAAATGGCCTTTTTGGGGAATTATAGCCTTCTATCTTCTCAAGGTGTCAACCCTTGAATAAACCTGATTTCCTTCCCTCCAACACCCCTTCCCTGAGTATTGGCTTTCAAGCAGTGAGCAGGCAAACTTGGGTCCAGTAACACCACCATCTGCCATCTTGTTATTTGCTGAGTTCCAGAATGCATATATGCCAGTACCAGAATCTTTTCTTCTTTGGTGTTGGGGATCAAACCCAGGGACACCCTACCACTGATCTACATTCCCAACCCTTTTCTTTTTTTATTTTGAGACAGGGTCTAAGTCACTAAATTGCTCAGGTTGGGCTCAAGCTTGTGGTCCTCCTGCCCCAGCCTCATGAGTAGCTGAAATTACAGCCATGAGCCACCATATCCAGCTATAAGAGGTTCTAAATGCATCCTTTTTTCAGTTTTTTTTTTTTTTCAGTTCTTAATATAAGTCATGTGTGTCCTCTTTTTTCTTAATCAGAAATTTGTTGCTTTTATTATGTACTTCAATGAGCCAACTCTTGGATTTGCTGATCTTTATTCCATGCTTGCTTTCCATTTAAATTTAAATTTTAATCTTTAATCATTTTAAATTTAATTTTAATCTTTCTTTCATCTACTTCCTTTGGATACATTTTTGCTGTTATTTTTCTGACATCTTGAGGCAGATGCCTAACTTTAATTTTTTTTTTTTTTTTTGGTACCAGGGATCGAACTCAGGTCCTTGCGCTTGCGAGGCAGGCAGTGGAACCACTGAGCTAAATCCCCAGGCCTAACTCTTTAATTTTTAACCATCCTTCTTTTCTAATGTATGCATTTAAGGTTATAAATTTTCCTCAATGAATGATTTTTAACTACATCCCACAAGTTTTTGTTCTTTTGTTTTTTGGGGGGTTTTTTGGTACTGGGGATCCAACTCAGGACCTTGCGCTTATGAGGCAGGGATGGTTTCACTGAGCTAAATCCCCGGCCCTCCCACAAGTTTTAATATCTATTTTTATAATCATTCAGTTAAAATATTTCACCAGGCAAGATGGCATGTGCCCAGAGTCCCAGCTAGTTTTTTTTGTTTTTTGGTACCGGGGATTGAACTTCTCAGACCTTGCGCTTGTGAGGCAGGCAGCGGAACCACTGAGCTAAATCCCTGGAAGTGCCAGCTATTTAGGAGAATGAGGCAGGAGGATTGCTCGAATCCAGGAGTTTAAGGCCAGACTAGGCAGCACAGTGAGGTTTGTTTCTTGTCTCGGCTGTTGTAAACGATCCTGCAGTTCTTGTGGAGTGATAGCAAGTTTCAGTCCTTTGGATTCTATCCAACAGTGACATCACTGGGTCACAGGGTCATGTTAATTTTAGTGTTTTGAGAAAACTCTGTACTGTTTTCCACAATGTCTGTGTGACTTCACATCACCAGCCAAAGTTCACAAGGTCTCCTTTTGCTCCACACCTTCAGCACCTGGTGTTTTGACTTGGTTGGTCATACTTATCCTAATGGGTGTGCCATGACTATCTCACTGGGGGTTGATTTTTTTCTTGTTTTGTGTTTGCTTGTGTTGGGGTGGAATCCAGGGCCTCAAAAGCAAGCACTGCCTCACTGAGCTGCACCATCATCGCGCACTGTGGCTTCGATTTCCATTTCTCTGAGGACTAGTGGTCGTGTTGAGCACCTTTTCATACAGCTGTTGCCATCGTTATATTATCTTTGGGAAACTGTCTACTCGGGTCCTTTGCTTATCTTTAAATTGCATTATTCCTTGTTGTTCCTGCTATTGAGTTGTATGAGTCTGATACACATTTTAGATATGATCTCCTTAACAGACACAAGGTTTACAAATGTTTTCTCCCATTTCATAGGTTCCCATTTTGTTTTGTTGAACATTTCCCTTTTTGTGTAGAAACTTTTTTATTTATTTGTTTATTTTTTTGGTACCGGAAATTGAACTCAGGACCTTGCGCTTGCGAGGCAGGCGCTGGAACCACTGAGCTAAATCCCCGGCCCATAGAAACTTTAGCTCAATGTACCCCTGCTTGTTTATTTTTGCTTTTATTGCCTGTATGGTTAGGGTCAAATAAAAAAAAAAGATTGCTGATACAAGGAGCTTATAACCTGTTTTTTCCTAGGAGTTGTGTGGCTCAAGGTGTTATGTTTAAACCTTTAATGTATTATGTGTTGGTTTTTGTGCAAGATGTAAAAGATTAAATGTGGTTTTTTGCAAGTGGGCATTCATTTTTCCCAACAACATTTATTGGAGAGTTTATCCTCATCCCACTGTGTGTTCCTGGAGCCTGTGTCAAAGATCAGCTGATGACGTGTATGGAGGTCTCTCTCTGAACCCCATCTGTTCCGTTGGTTCCTAAGCCTGTATGCAAGCCAGCAGCGTATGTATGAGGCCAGCCTGGGTGGGCTACATAGTGAGTTCAGGGCCAGGCTGAACTACAAAGCAAGACCCTGTCTCATAAAACAAAACCAAAAAACCCAATGTGGATTCTAGACGCTCACACACACAGGCGCACACTTGAACACGCTCAGTACACACACGCACACCCTCGCTTGCTTCCCGTCTCTCACCATGTGATGCCCCACACCACCTGGGGGCCTGCCAGGAAGAAGGCTGTTACCCGATGCCATCCCTTGCCCTTGGCCCAGAAGGTGAGACAAAATAACCTTATCTTCTTTACTTACAAAAAGAAAAAACAGACCGTGCATTCTACAGATGGGGGTTCAGGGTTCTGTGGGTGTCTATGAGGACAATTTTCTGAATTGGCTTTGGAGAAGACCATAAAAATAAAGCCAAGAAGGGCAGGGACAGTAGGATGAGGGCATCCAGGGCCTGACGGAGGGAGGGTGGAAGGAAACTCGACTTATTTTCCGGGGCTGTTTCAGCAGTCAGAGGAGCAGCGGGTGGGCCCAGCTTGCGGGCCCTACAACATTTAATTAATTAAAAAGAATCGTATCCATTATTTTCCGGGAGATGATAATAGCACTAGTTGCTACACAAGCAGCAATACGAAAATATTATCAGTACCACGTCAGGTGCCAGGATCGCGATAGCGCCCTAAGGCCGCTCACCAACGCGCGTCCGGCTCGGTCCGACTTCTTCCCGCGCCTTTCCCCGGCCCCGCCCCCTCTCGCCCGCTAAGGCGCACGCGCAGTGGTCAGATTCGGCCTGGCGTCTCCCTTGCGGAGCCATCGATGGCTCGAGCTCCTAGAGAGCCTATCCGGCCTCGGTACTCGGCTCATTATGCCTTTAGTGCTGCCATGGAAACGCAGTCCGCGGCCTCCTGGCCCCACCCCGGCCCAGGAGCTCCCGCGCCCCAAGGGCCTCCAGCTTCTCTGGGCCCAGGGCCACCAACGGGGATCCTCGGCGGCCCGTGGCACCCCACGGGGTCCAAGGAAGTCCACGGAGACTCGTGGCCTCTCGCGGGCGCGTGTGCGGCGGGCGAAGGGCCTGCCGGCGGGGCGAGGGCGCCGCCCGACCCCACCTCCCCGCGCTCCGGCCCGGGCGCCCGTGCCGGGGTGACGCCTCCTCCCGTCGGCGCTGCCTTTCCCGCTGCACGACTCTCCCCACAGACCCGGACCCTGGCGTCCCGCAGCCGAGTCCCCTCGTCGCCGGTGGTGTCCGAGAGACCTGCGATCGCGCACCGTCCGCGGCAAGCGCGACTCTTCCCTAATGTGAGTCTCCTGGTCTGACCCAGAGACGCTGCAGGGGCTCAACGCGGCCTCAGCTTGACAGCTCCCTCACTTCTCTGCTGCATCACTTGGGAGAGTCTCCCAAAGAAGGACTTGGGCGAACTCTGCCAGCGTGCAAGGGGCCGCATCCGCTGCAGCTTCTAACGCCAGCAGGGCCAGGTCAGTGAGCAGCGGGCCACTGGAGCGCCCTCATTGTCTGGCTGTATAACGACCTCTCCCAAAGGACACTGGACACTCTGCAAGCTCGGCGGCCCAGGCTGTGCTGTCAGAGTCACAGCGAACACCTGACCTGTCCCCCAGGCCCTGTCAATGCCACATAGCTGTGTCTGGCTGAGCTGGGGCCCGGACACCACTCTGAACAACTCTCAGGTGGCTTCGGGATGCTTGGGCATCGACATTTCCACACAACACACCCTCCTGAGGATGTCACCTGCAGATGGTCTGAATTCCAACTTCTCCTTAAGCCAGGAGTCCTCAGCCTGCCGCTGAAGTTAAATACGGTGCAAAGCAGCCACAGCTCTCCGCATGTGAGGGCAGCTGGGTGGGGAGGGGCTGCGCCTGGGGCATGAACGGCCGGGTCCCCCTGGCAGAGAAGGCCCTGTCCGAAGGCTATGCTCGCCTCCGATACCATGACACTTCCTTGCTCATCTGGCAGCAGCAGCAGCAGAAGTTGGAATCTGTGCCGCCTGGGACCTACCTGAGCAGGAGCCAAAGCATGTGGTACTCGAAGTACGGAAATGAGGCCATCTTAGTCCGAGACAAAAACAAGCTTGAGGTCTGCCGGGACACAGGTCAGTCCAAGGTGTGCACGATTGTGTGATGAAACCCTCGGCCAGGTACCACGCCTTTCTACTTCTCTTTCTACTTCACATCACTTCCTAATCCTCAGCAGGAGGCCATGGAGATCCAGATGAGGTGTAAGACCCGGACAAGGCCAGGAACTGGTGCCCAGCAACTCCTTGCTGGGGTCCCCCCAACGCTGGTAGCTCAACACCCACTTCCAGGGCTCTGCCCAGCAATGCCCAACCTTCCAAACAAGTCAAGCAAGAGGACCCCCAGCCCACAACAACCCCCCCAAGTTCTAGAGGTTGTCTGGAGTATTAGCCTCTGCCTGATGAAGAATGGGTGGGATCTAGAATAGGGAGGGGACTGCTGTCACGTGGCCTCAGATCCCATGGCAACACGAGCAGCCGTGGTGGCTCCAGTGGTGGCATCTCAGTGGGATGTAGTGCCTTGTGGTGGCTTCCACACTGGCTCCCGGGCATGGGGGCCCATGGGCACATTCGTCCTACGCAAAGCTCTGCCAGGTGCCTGCAGTCATGTCAGGCTGTCCCGTGGATATAAAGTGGGTTCCCTGCTAGACAGTAGACGGCCTCACCCTCCAACCCAGGCTGCAGCTGCCCCATTTGTTTGGGTTCAGTATATTCCATCCTCACTGCACATTCGTGCACCTACATTCCTGGGCCATTGTGAGGGCCTTTGCCCTCTGCTGCAGTTAAAATCTTCTGGTGATGCACACAGGGAGGAGTATTGTCAAAGCTGGTTTTGCTTTTCTAAATAAATATCCTCTAGGGCTCCTTCCCTTTCTCAGCCTCATTTATCTTGTTCAAATCTTACTTGGCTTTCACTTTCTTAGTAAATCTGCATAAATACTGCAAAGCAGAGCTAAATGCCCTCCCCAGAGATGAGTGCTGTCAGCATGTGGTCCCAGTCCAGGCATCCCAGTGGCATCTTCCTCCTGACTGGCAGCCCTCGACCTCCCCAGTGGGCAGAGATGGCACGAACAGCTCGTCCTGGCATGCTCCCCGAATGTGGTTCCCCTTACATGGGTCTCATTGCAGCCGTGTACGTTCATCTCCAGATGGCTCAGGTCCAGCCAGAGCCCTACTTGGCTGTGGCCTCCCCAGAGCCAGGTCCCTTTGCTGGCCCCTTGGTGCCTGGGGCTGGAGGACCCGTCCTGTCTTCGAGAGCGAGACTCGCCTGACCAAGGCACCATAGCTATGCGGACGATTCCAGGGTGCTTTTGTCTACATCTTTGCAGCTCTTCAGTTTAAGCCCTGCTAGGAAAGAAAGCAGACTTCACACGGGACCCAAGGGCGGTCAGGGTCAGGTCAACCAGCATCTACACATGGAGATGGGGTCAGAGGTCACCTGCAGCACTGGGATGGGTGCCACTCAGCAGGCTGGTCTCTGCAGGGTTAGTGGTGCGGATAACAGGCACTGGGACCTGCATAGGAAAGCTGCCACTAAGCTGCTTAGCCCGGAAGAAGACACCATCTGCCTGGGGTGGACAGGACAGTGATGTGCTGGAGGCTGGTCTGGACTGCAGCAGTCAGCAGGAGAGACAGTGTGCCCGGCCTGAGCCAGGTGGGGTGGACAGTGGGGCTCGGCCGGGACCCATCGAGAACCTCTTTCCCAGGACTGTCTGTCCCAGGCCCGGCACCAACAGCTGGGCTGTTTTGAACAGAGTGTTTGAGCCCTCAGACACCTTGACCCCTCCATTTCTTCCCCACTGAGCCTCGAGGACGTCCAGGGCCTGTTCTGAGCAGTGGTCGGCTATGGCATGAAGACCTGGGCTTGGCCCAGTGTTAGGGGCCTGCGTCACAGGAAATCACCCCAGTGCAAACCGACGTAAGAGGGCATGGGACAGCAACTGCTTGCCAGCGACAAAGGCAGCCCGTTCCAGGGAACAAGGACAGGAGGGAAAGGGGCGCCCAGGCAGAGGGAGGGAGGATGCAGCTGCTGAAGGGTCGGGGCTCCGAGGCCCTTTACCAAGACTGCAGGGGGCACACACCACACCGTACACTCCAAAGGGAGGCGGGCCACCATGGAAAGCTAGGAAGCCTGGTTTGTTTCTTTCTTTTTATTATGAAAACAAAACAAATGCCCCAGGAGAAGGGTCCATGATTACCAGAAACATCAAAGAGTACTTTCTACCATTTTTATTCTGTGGTGTTGAGGCCAGCATTGCAATAAACAAGCTAAAACTACTTACATTGGACTCATTTTCAGTAACTGACATTTACAGGAATATACTAGAAACGGCACTAAAAAGTGTTAAGAAAAATTACGGTAAACTCGCATGCACATCATACAGAAAAGTAACATTTTAAATATAAAAAAGAAAAACCTCCTGGAAGTGTTATGCCAGTATTAGGGGACAGAGAGAAAACTTGATGTGACAATTCTTGACATGGGCATTTTTCCTTCCCAAATGACTGTAAAAGGCTGCAAAAGAACACAACCAAAACAAACACAAAGGAAAAACGTGTCTTACAGTTGTTAGCAAGCTGACGCTGCCCCGCAGGAGGGCTCTGGGCCTCCGCAACACCCACAGCCTGCCCTCAGGCCCGGCTCCGGCAGGGTCCCCAGGTCCATCCCTGTGGTGACCACCACGCCTGCCACTGTCCCCCCCAGGGAGCCTCTGCCTGGAAGGTCTGACTCTTCCTGCAGTGCTCCCGGCCCAGGAGAGGCAAAGACTCGAACACGGGAGTCACCACGGCCCGACTGACATCCAAAGTGTCGAGAGAGTCAGGGACCCACCAAAGCCCCAAGAGCAGTTTTGAAGTCTGGACAGAAAGCCTTTAAAGTTACAGCACCAGTGAACTACAGCTGCTCAGTAGGACCACAGCCCTGGTGACCCTCCTTCCTCGGAGGGCCGGCTGCCTCCCTAGGCCAGCAACACCTCGCTCCCTGTCACTCCCCCAGGCACCCTGGCTTGGGCTGCCTGGTGCCCTCAGGACACGCAGCCACTCAGATCCCGAGCCACTTTGTCCTGTGTTAATTCCTTAAAGTCACAGTTTAAATATTCTATTAAAGATCTGTTTAGAAAATACCTTTGAAAAACAAGGGTAACTTTAAAAAATGGAACTTTAAAATCCATTTATATTTTTATTATAAACAAAACTGACCTAAAAGTTTTAACAAATGGCTGAAAACTCATCAAGTGTCAGAACTGCCAGTGACTAGGAACAGCGGCCAGCCCCACCCCAGAGTCCACGGTCTGGTTTTAAACACTGCACCCAGGCAGGGAGCTGCTCACACCGTCTCTGTCTCCACCCAAAGTGCAGGCGCAACCACAGCCCATCAGACAGCATGCTGCCCATGACACGGCCGCAGAGCACCACGGGCTGCAGCCCAGCGGGTGTCCCGGGAGCTCGGGGCAGTAAAGAGCCAGGAGTACCGCGAGGTCTCCAGGCCCCTGACCCCCAAGAGCACACAGGCCAAGGCCAGGGGCTCTGTGCTCGCCGGCCAGAGGCGACGGAGGCCAAGGCCGGGCATGTGGCCACCTCGAAAACAACAAACCCAAACAGAGCCTTCTGTTACACTCGTGTATATATATATATATATATATATATTTTTTTTTTTTTTTTTTTTTTTTTTTACAATAGAAAATTTAAAACAAATCAAGACCTGGATTTTTCTATGTACTTCTTTTCTCAGATTGCAAAGCTGATGTTATAGAACTGGGGTTGCCTACGTTGATTTCTTTGAAACAGTCCTCAAGAGACCTGGCATGGATACAAGGAAAACTGAACGAACAACATAAAAATTAGAACGTGCTGGAGCTGAAAAGTGTCTATACTTGTAAGTCTCCAAAGTTTATACAAAAAAAAATGAAAAAAAGAAAAATCTGAAACCACCAAAACACCACACCCAAAAGCCAGCAAGCCCAGGAAGAGCGCGGACTGAGGACCGACATGATGAGCACCCGGCAGGGAGCGGGCTGAGCGGGCTTGGTCTCCTCCGCCCAAGGGGCTGAGTCGCTGCTGCTGTGTTTAATGCACTTCTTTTACGGTTCTGTGTTTTTCTTTGCTTTTTTTCTTTTTTTTCTTTTTTTTAAAAAAAATGACCAATGATGTTAATAAATAAAGTATTTATATATACATAAAACTGGGAAAGTGGTTCCAGGGTGTGCGGCAGCAGCAGCCAGGGCAGCGCGAACGAGGTGTAGACACACTGGGCTGGACCTCTGTAGAAAATCGCTGAACCTTACAAAAAGTCTCCTTTTGTGGGTTTTTAAAAATTTTTTTTTTCAGTTGAGGTAAAAGTTTCAGTGTTCGGAAACCTGCACACTGTGCCTGCAGTCGCTCCGCTCCTCCCATCCCAGGGCCTGACGCCACCACCCCGGGCAGCAGAGCTTGGCACCCGTCCCTCCGCCCACCTGAGCTCAGGGCTCAGCCCAGCCTGGCGATCACAGGACGTGGCCTGGGTGACACAGCCCACCCCCAGGTGCAGCGGGCAGCTGTCGCGCAGAGCACCCATTCAGAGCAGTTCCTCCTGGTGCGGGGCAGGCTGGGCCAAGCACAGGGCGCCGCGGGTCCTGGGGCTGTGCCCCGCAGCCTCCTCTGGCGTCATCAGCGAGGCTGTGTCTCCGAGGAAGTGACCGCACGCGTGCGGCAGGAAGGGCAGACGTGACCTACTGGAGCACAACCGGAGATACCGTAACACTGAAGTAAAGGAAACCTGCACACCATGGAACGGAAGGAGTATATTGACCACAGGAAGGGACACTCAGAGCCTCGGCGTGGGTGACGTCCATCTGTCCTCTCTGGCCATGCCCTGGGGTCACTCAGAGTCACTGCTGTCGGAGCTGGACCCACTCGAACTGCTGCTCCCTGATTCTGAGGAACTGCTGCTGCTGAGCCGCGACGGCCCCCCTGAGGGCGCCGAGCCAGACTTCTCTGCGGAGACACCGGGTGGACAGCCACTCACCACCCGCTGCCTCGCTGGGCCATGCATCCCCAGCACGGTGCCCAGCCTGACCCGGCGGCTACGCGCCCAGTGTAGCACATGCCTGTCATCCCTGTACTCTGGGACACTGAGGCAGGAGGCCCAGCTTGGGCAACTTGGTGAGAGACCTTGTCTCAAAATACAAAATAACAAAGGGGTGGGGATGTAGCTTAGGCCACAGGAGGCTAGGGCACCCTGATGGTACACACAGCCCTGGGCTCTGCAGACCCCACCTAGACTCTACGGGGCCCGAGCCAGCAGCCCTCTCTGAGGTGCAGGGAGACGAATGCTCCTCCTCAGGGAAAGGCGGTGAGGACCAAGCACCACTCACCCGATGCAGGGCCCCAGTGCATAAAAGGCCGGGCCGGGTCACTGCCTGGGGGTCGGGATGCTTGCCCCAGGAGCTGCTGCCTTGCACCCTGCACACCCATGAGCCCTGCAGGCTGGGGCACGGCCCTGGCTCAGACGGAACTGGGGCTTGGGAGCCTCAGAGCCTTGGCTAAGAAGACAGTGGCCCAGCATGACCCCACACCCTCAGCCGGCCCGGCAGGCGCGGCTCTACTCGCCACCGCAGCCCCACACAGGCGCGGAGCTGGGTACCTTTCTTGGTGGGCTTCTTGCTGTTCAGCTGCCCGCTCACATCCTGGAGCCGCTTCTCCAGCTCCTTCTTCTTTTCCTGAGCGAGCTCCTCCTTTGACTTCGCTGCCTGCTTCTTCCCGCTTGTCGCTGTCGGGGACAGGAGTGGGGCTGTGTGGGTGGCCAGGGCCAGGTAGGGCTGGCGAGCATGCCCTGCCCAGCCTGTCCAGCCAGCACATCAAAACCGTGGTCTGGGCCCCCAACTGGGATAACTCGGAGCCATGGCAGCTCCTAGCCCTCGCCATGACCAAAGTCTGAAAATCCCGACCCAGCCAGTCCCCTCCGAGATATCTTCCCAGCAGAGTTAAGGACATCATATTACAGGGACCCATGCACATCCAAGTTCACAGCACCACAGTTCACAGCAGCTAAACCTTGGGTATAGCCTGTATGTCCATCAACAGATGAACGGATGAAGAAAATGTGGTATTTATACACAATGGAGTGCTACTCTGTCATAAAGGATAAACTTGAGTCCTCTGTGGGGAAATGGATGCACCTCGAGACCACAATGCTCAGTGACATGAATCAGACACACAAGCTTAGATATCACACTGTTTCTCTTATATGAGAAACCCAAATTATAAATAAAGAACAAAGCAAAAGATAATAGGAAATAGGGAGAGCGATCTTTCTCGAAGGGAATCAAGATGGAGGGAAGGAGGAGAAAGTGGATGAAGAAAGGAATCCAGAAGTGTTCTGTACGTGCACCAGCTCCACACCGGGAACGTAAGCACCGTGTCCTGCCAACATCACCTGTGAGAGCTGTAAAAAGCCCAAGCCGCCATACCCACCACTGGGCCAGGCTGTGGAGCCAGGGGCCGCCCACCCATACTCCCTGCCCAGCCAAGTGCGGCAGCAGAGCTGGGTCTGCAGCACCTGAGGGCTCACAGTCGAGCATGGGGACCACACAGGTCGTGGGGCCCATCCATCCCCGGAAAGGAGGCTGCCCGCTCCCAGGCGGGTGAGGGCAGAGCAGGGTCGTGGGTGCCAGGCCGGCCCTGGACAGTCTGAGGCCACTGCGGGTTTCCTCAGGGGCCTTCCCCTCCAGTCCCTGGCTTCTGTCCAGCGATGCCATGGGCCTCAGGAGGGGTCCTCCTCCCCACAGTGCGAGGGACCCTCAGAGAGGCCCCTGCGGCCAAAGCCCCAGACACAGCCTTGGGAAGCTGTGCCGAGGATCCTACGGGGCTGGGCAGGCAGGCGACTTACAGAAAGGCTTCCGCTGCTTCTTCTGTAGGCACGACTTGACATATCGCTCCAGCTCCCGCAGCGTGGTGGGCTTCAGGGTCTCAAAGTCGATCTCAATCTCGTCAGGGTTGGAGTCCCGCAGTGACGGCTCCCGAGACTGGATGATGTGCACCACGCGGCCCAGCTTCTCCCCCGGCAGTCGGTTGATGTCTAGGCTGAGCTGCCGCTTCTCGTCATAGCTCATGGGCAAGCCCCCCTCGTCCTCTTCGGAGTCGTAGGAGGCTGATGCCTGCTTGCCGCCCTTCTTCAGCTGTCTGCGGCAGAAGACAGAGCAGTGTGGCATCACCGGGTGTGCCCACTGCCTGCCTGACCTCAGCTACTCTGGGCCCCGGGAGACTGCGTGCAGACCTCACATCTGCCCTGCTCAGAAAGGCTGCTCCCAGCCCCGGTCCTGGTCAGGAGGCCACAGAGGCCGGCTCCCCTTGATGCTGCACGAGACTCCCCAACTCAACTGGTCAAAGCAGGTCTCCCTGTTCCAGTAAACCAAGAGAGCGAAGCAGAGGGTGGGGGACCAGAAACAGGGACACAGGAAAGAATGTCAGGGTAGATGGAGCCAGTACATGAACATTGCCACTAAATACAAATGCTCGCGCGCACGGCCCGAAGGAAAAGATGGTCCCGGCAGAAAGAGCCAACATGCAACTCGCACACTACCTGCAGCCCCCCTTGACCACAGCGACGGAGCAGGCTGAAGGGAAAGGGCGGGGATCCGCACCTCGAAAACACCCAGCCAGGGATTTGGCCCAGTGGCACCGTGCCTGCCTCGCAAGGTCCTGAGTTCGATCCCCAGTACCACAAAGGAAAACCCTCATCAGAGAAGGCTGGCTCAGCCACACTGGCCACACAGTCAGCCTCCGAGGAGGGGAGTACCAGGAAAGCAAGGGGATATCGGGGAAAAGGCAGCGGGTGACAACTGTAAGGCCTAACAGTGGGCGCAGCTGAGTCCAGCCTTGGGACACACAAAGCAAAAGCTGAGAGAACTACAGAGGAGGCAGGAAAACCCCCATCACACCCAGACTCCAAGAGCTCCCTCAGCAACTAAGGCAGCAGGCGCCTGGGCGAGAAAGAGAACACCTGACAGCGCCGGCGGCCCACTGGATCCAGCAGGTGTGCCTCGGCTTGGGGGCCCTAAGGTTTTTTTCCTCAAGTGACATTTACACCACACTTGGCCCAAAACAACAGAAAACAATTTTGATTTCTGCTTTACTTTTTGCAGTACTAGAGACCGAATCCAAGGGCACTGTACCGCAGAGCTACACTCTAGCTTTTCTTACTTGATTCTGAGACAGGGTCTAAGTTGTCCAGGTGAGATTTGAAGCTGTGATCCTGCTGCCTCAGCTTCCTTCAGTGCTGGGATTACAGGTGTGCCTGGCCCACAATACACACTCAAGTGTATGTGGGATATTCACCAAGATCACCTTTTAGGCCATGAAATAAACCTTAAAAAATGTAAAGGTTATCAGAATCCTACAAAGTAGTCTCTGACCCTAATGGAATCGAACTAGAAATCAATTAGCAGAACACAGCTGGAAAAACCCCTAATGTTTGGAAATTTGACAACACAATTTCAAATAATTCCCTGTGGTCAAAGGGGAAGAAGTCTGAAGACAGATTACAGGAAGTCACGCCATTACAACCTGTGGGCTCAGGCCAGTGCGGTGTTTGGACAGACTGGAGCACTTGGGGCTCGAGGAGGGAAAGGTGGCCCCAGTAGTGACCGAGCTTCCATCTCAGGAAGCTGAAAGGGGCAAACCAGGGCAAGAGGGCAAACGCAGGAAACAGAAAAGTATGAAATCCCATGCTGGGTCTCTGAAAAATCAATACTGTGGAAGAAAAGGAAAAAAATGGACACAAAGTCTTTGTAAATAGGGAAGGGTGGAGGGGGTGAAGGGAAGGCAGGGGAATGGGGAAAAAATAAGAACCAAGATGCATCATGTTCAGGTACAAGATCCCAATGATGAATGTAACTGTATTGTATGCCTAAAATGTACCAATAAACTAAATGGAGAAAAAAAAATAATCAATACAGCGGGTAAATCTCCTTCGTGATTCACCAGCAAAAAGCCAGGACTCCCCATGGCAGGAAGGAGAGAAAGCACCATCACCAGGGCCAGGTGGGCGCCTCAAGTCTAGGCCGTGTCCAGGTGACTTGGAGTGAGACGCCCAGCCCCAAACTCACTGATGGAGAAACCGAGGGCTTGGAGTTGCCAGGACAGTAGCCTGTATCATTAAAATAACTGAGTTCATGACTATAACCCTTTCCACATGCAAACTTCGGACCAGATGGTTTCGCTGGTGAATTCTACCAAGCATTTCAGAATGCCAGTTCCATAAATGCACCCTGGAAAACAGAAGGGGGACCCTCGTGTTGCTCAGCTGTCCCTGATCACTTTAGAATACTTCCTCTCGCCACGTCTGAGGCCAGCACTCTCCTGACACCCAAACTGGACAGAGACAGTTTAAGGAAAACTGACTTCTGCATCTCCTCCACAAGGGAAGTAGGCAAAGAAGGGAAGAGGTGACAGAGGAAAGAACACTGGGCCTGGGCCACCAACACCAAGCCCAGGACGTCATGTATCCCCTGCACCCACATCATGCACCATGGCTGTCTCTTCAGCCTACACAGCCATCGAGAGGCGTCCTCTCTCCCACCGCTGCCTCCTGTGGCCCTGTCCTCCACGGCTCCCTTCCCTTGCTCAGAGGACAATGCCCTCGACAGCCATTGCTCACATGCCCAGGCCGGCTGCTCCGAGAGCCAAGCGCCACCTCTGTCCTTACTCCCAAAAGTAAAGAGCCTGCAGACCACGGCCCCAGCCTCGTCAGCCACCGCCGCCACCCCTCTCCCCCGCCCCAGGCCAGGACGGAGCGCTCCCTACCGCCACCTCCCTGCCACCCCTGCCTTCCCGCGCCCCCCAGGGCAGGCCACCGCCCAGGCAGGAGCTGAACGGAAGGCCCGGTGGCGTGCCGAGGACAGGGCCAGGTTCCTAGCTCCCTGACAGTGGCAGAGAGGTCTCCAATGCCCCAGGCCCCACGCAGCTGGGGTGCGGCGCCCCGAGGCGGCACCCGGAAGGCCCTGTGCCCACCTGACGGCTGCCGTGGCGCTGCTGGGCTTCTTGGCCGGGGCCTTCCGCTGTGGGGCCTGCCTGGTGGGCACCGCCTTGGCCTTCTTCTCCTCCTCACACCTGGCCCTGTGCTTCTCCTTCTCCTTGTCCTTGTCCTTGTCCTTCTTCTTCTTCTCTTTCTCCCGCTTCTCCTTCTTCTTCTTTGGTTTGTTCACGGGGGCCTGGGACAGGGCGGCCAGCTGCTCGTGCACGGCTTTCAGCTGGGAGAGAGAAGGCAGCTGAGGAGGCTCCCGGCACCACCCCGGCCTGGGGATGGGTGGGGATGGGCTGGGGGCCCCTCCCAGCCACCTCTGCGCCTCTGCCTGCAGCGATGGGGCCTGGCCTCAGGGGCCTCCCTGATGGGGACACAGGCCCCTCCTCCCAGGGGACAGGCTGGGCGCAGGAGGCACTGTGACCCTGGCTGCCCTTGTTACTGCCGGGTACCACTTTCCCCACAAGAAGCTAGAGGCTTAAGCACCTGCACAAGGAGACCCAAGAGCCACTCCTGGGTACTGCTGCACGGCAAGGCTGTAGGACCAAGTGAGCTGGGACCAGCAGCTCGCCTCTTCCCAGCGCCAGACCCGCCAGTGGCAGAGCGCTCCAGGGTCTGCATACTGTCACTGTAGCAGCCGCTCCCAGCATGGATGGTCACCACAAACCCAGAGTGCAGGTAGGCTGACAGCCTGTCCTAGCTCCCAGGCTTTCAGGGAGGAGGTGCATGGCAGAGGACCATGCCAGCCCTGTGGCTGGGCCCAAATGTCCAGTCAGCCCTGTGACTGCTCTGTTCAGGACCAGCCTCCTGGGAGCCTCCTTCCCTATCTGGTCCCCGCTGGTCTTTTGCTCCTGACCCGGTGGCTCTGCTCTGTCCCCTCACTGCCTGAGGCCCCAGAACTGCACACCTGGTGGCTCCCAGGAGCGGGAAAGGGACACTGGGGCCTCTGATTTACCCACAGACTGCGAGAGATGGTCCACACAGCACATGTGCTCCCACAGGAAGCCCTGTGGCACAAGGAGGCCCTGGCTCTGGCTCTGATGGGCACGGCGTGGCCTGAGGAGGTAAAGGTGGCCACAGCGGACTGGGCAGCGGGGCTCTCACCTGCTCCTGCAGCTCAGCCAGCCGCGTGGCGCGCTCCTCCTCCGAGTCTGAGCTGCCGGAGTCTGACGAGCTCTCCTCGCTGCTGCGGCTACTCTCAGTGCCCTTGCTCACCACGGGGGCTGCGGGTGCGGGCAGTGTGGGTGCCTCCACGGGCTCATCTGGCATCTTGGCAAACCGCATCTCAAACACGTCCTGGGAAGTGACAGAGGCCGCCATGAGGACTGGACACACGGGGCGGTGCCTCGGCGTGGCTAGTGGGCCTGAGATGCCCGTGAACCGTCCCCACGGCTCCGCACCAGCTCAGGCCCTAGAGACCAGGCCGGCCCACCTGGGACGCTGGCCTGGTGAAGTCGTAGGCTTTCCATGGGAGACTCGGCCTCCCTGTGCAGGCGCCAAGCTGCCCTAGTGTGACAGGGGCGCGACTCGGTGGGGCCTGGACAGGAGGCTCTGGAGGTCATCTCGCCTCCCCAGCACTGGGTCCCTCCCTAGGTCCCAGTGCAGCGTGCCACCTCCTGCAGGGTGAGCCCCAACGTCAGCTCAAAGGGCAGGCTCGTCCTAAATCACCTCCAAGGACTGAGGGTGCAGCTGGGCACCCACAAGGCCCCAGGTTCCATCCCCCAGGCTCTGGAAAGCCCCTCTTGGGGGACGCCCCTGTCCCCCAGGTTTATAGCACACACATGCACGGCCATGAGGAAACGAGGGGCCTTGCCAGCCACCCCCCACCAACACCACTCCACCAGGCGGAAGGCAGCTCCCCACAGACCCGGCTCTGGGCTCTGGCCTCCCCCGTGCTGCTGCTGGGGGTTGGGGCAAAGACCTCCTGGAGGTGCTGACCCTCGAAGCCCTGACCCAGGAAGCCATGGGAAGCTGGGTGTGGTGGTACACACCTGTAATTCCAGCACTCTGGGAGGCTGCCCCAGGAGGATTCTGAATTCAAGCCCAGCCTGGGCCACTTAGTAACTTAGCAAGACCCTGTCATTTAATGATAAAGGGCCGGGGATGCAGCTCAGTGTGAAGGCCCTGGGTTTGAAGCCCAGGCTGAGCAGAGCCGCCTGGGTCCAAGCACAGTGGGCAAGTTCTTGGAGAAAGATGGGGCCTCCTAGGCCTTTCTCTGTCCAGGAGGGGGCTCGTGGGGGAACCATGTGCAGGAAGGAGGCAAGAAGAGTGTCAGCAGGGCCTCACTTTTGTCCGAGTAACTCAGGATGATGACATGGGCAATGTCATGGGGTCCACAGAACAAGGACAAGCAAGAAACTAAGGAGCTAAGAATATCTCTCAGGATGTAGAGACTCCGGGTTGGGTTTGTTTTTTTCACTAGTGGGGACTCAACTCAAGTCCCTGCACTGAACTACAGGCCCAGTCCTTTTTAAACTTTTAATTATTCATTTATTTTTGTCTGTTGAGACAGGGTCTTGCTAAGTCACTAGGCTATCCAGGCTAGGCTTGAACTTGCAAACCTCCTGCCTCAGCCTCCCACAGTGCTGTAATTACAGGTATGGGCCACTATGCCCAGCTGAAACCCATGATTTTTACTTTTTTCTCTAAAAGGAAAATCTTGGTCGCATAACCTCTGAAGTGTAAGCAGCCGGGGATTTAGCTCAGTGGTTCTGCCACCTGCCTCGCAAGTGCAAGGTCCCGAGTTTGATCCCCAGTACCAAAAATAAAAGGTGAAGTGTAACCACACAACCTGCACCATCAATTTCCAGAGATCAATGAGGTCCTGGTGTCCCGTGCAGCACAGAAACCTGCATGCAGCACCAGATGCCAGCAGCAAAGCACACGCACGCCTCCGAGGGGGAGCCCCAAGCCGGCGCTGACGCCAGACCAGGACACTCCCCGTCCTCCCCACGCAGCCTAGACATCCCACTTCCTCCAACGCAGCTTCGTTCTGCCGCCAGAAAAGCAGACGCTGAGCTGCAATTGCCATCAAACGTGACAGTGAAGCCTCGGAGGGCCCCGACGTCCCAGCCAGGGTGCACACCACCCGTGCTCACCAGGCCCTATCCCCATCTCAGCCCGCGGCTTCTGGGGCACGGGCAGGCGCCAGCTTGGGACCAGCAGCCCTGGGTGCCAGCTCTGAGCCTGATGGCCTCTCACCGCCACCAGGGACAACAGGCTACGTGAACGACACCCATGTCCCTCCACCTCCTATCTGGGGCCTTGATGCCCACAGCCCCAACCTCAGCTGCTAATGGCACCCGTGCCCAGCCTCTGGTTACCTGGAGCTTCCTGGCCATGGCCACCACTTCGTGGTCGGGAGGGTTGTACTTGTAACAGTTTGAGAACATTAACCGGATGTCAGCAGCAAAGCCCTGTGCGTCCGGGTACTCGCGACTGTCCATCTTCCTCTGCAACACACAAGGACAGGGCGTGAGTGGGCAGGCCCCCCGCAGGTCCTCAAGGACGGCCAGATTCGGGATCCTCAGGATGTCCACCGCCAGCCTCTCTTGGGCCTTGGCTGTGGGAGCCTGAAGGGAAGGGGCAGAGGTAACTCAACACCTTGGAGAGGTGAGTCTAGGATCCAGGGACAGAGCTGCCACTAGAAGAAAACGGTGATCAGCAAGAAAGCCCAGTTCCCACAGCTACCGCACAAGCCCTTTCTTGTGACACATCCCCATCCAGCTCCGATCGGGGACCTGGGAAGTGCGGAATTCTGGGGCGACGTTGCCCTCTACAACCCCAGGGCTGCTCAGCTTCAGCATGAAACCCTACTTCCTGCCGCAAGGAGTGCAGCACGGCTTATAGAAACGTCCAACCCAGGGCCCATGCCAGCTCCAGGCTCCGGCTGGGCATGAGGTCCACAGTGACCTGGCCACCAGAGTGACCTGGCCCTGCAGCAGCTCCCTCAGACCACAGAGGCCAAGGCCGGGTACGCTGGGCAGCACACAGTGCTGGTCGGAGTGGTGCGCTGGGGGCAGCTGTGGGACCAGGGGACATCTGGAGGTGGCAGCTGAGAACAAACTGACGGTTTAAGGGAGGGTAAATGCTTACGAGCGGTGAGCCCCTGTCCAGGATGGTTTCAAACTAGTAGTTGAAAATCTCAAGGGGAGGCAGACAATTGGGTGCAGGGTGTTGTTGGTCTGGGCCCCAACCCCAACTCCAGGAATGCCCCTGGCACCCCGGGACATGCCCCACCTCCACAGAGGCTGGCTGGGCCAAAGCCAGGGCACAGCGGCATGTGGGGGCTTGCTGACATCAGCGGAAGTCTTATTTAGGGTTAGGGTCTTGCCAGGACAGAAGCCACGCCCAGCTTTGCCTTCAGAACCTACAACCACCTCAAGGGTGTCTCTCCCTTCACACAGGCTCACTTTCCCGTGCTCGGGCTGCCTTGTGCTCCCCCAAGGGCTGTTTCTAAAAGGACGGCAGCCAGGCACAGTGGTGGACTCCTGGGATCCCAGCTGCTCGGGGGGCTGAGGTGCAGGACCCCAAGTTGAAGGCCAGCCTGGACAGCTCAGTGAGAGCCTGCCCCAGAACAGAAGTGTAAGAAGGGCCGGGTGTGGCTCACGGAGGAGCACGAACCTGACACGCGCAAGGCCTTGGCCCCGTCTCTAGTACTGTTACAAAAATGAGAAAAGCAGCAGCAGTGGACACAGAAGCCCAACAAAGCACATCAGCACGAGGAGGTGGGGTGAAGGCAGCTCATGCCTCGGCCCAGGATGATGACAGGCTGTACCCTGCACCCCAACCTCCCGCACTGTCCCAGAAACACACTGCAATGAGACGGGCAGCCCAGACCAAGGGCTCCGAGGAGGCTCCAGGCAACTTCCAGACTGTGGGGCTCTGGGACAGCCCGCTGGCCAACCCGGCTCCACCCTTTACTCAAACAGGCAGCCTGCACAACCATGGAGGACGAGCTCCGGCAGGAAGAGCTGCCCTCAGCTCAGCGCCACCGCAACCAGCCTCTGCCAGCTCACGCCACTGGTCAGCACCAGCATGCACTCTGTGGGGCCTCTCGCCACAAGTCACCTACACCCAGGGCTCGACGGGCTTGACCTCAATTGTGCAGAGCTGTGCCGACCCTGGCAGTGGACCACGGGCCAGGCCACTGCCTGATGAGACGGAAAGGGGACAGGAAGAGCACAAATGGGACCACCACCCTGGGCTCAACCACGACAAATAACCACAAAGCTGCGGATTTTAGGACCACGGCCGGGGTGGCCCAGAGCCTGGCGCCTGCACTTACTTTGACAGTGCTGAGGTCCATGGGGTGCTTGATGATGTCATGGTAATCGTGCAGCTCCAGTGCCTCGGCGTCCACGGGCTTATAGAAGGGCCAGGCGTAGGCAGCGTGCTTCTTGGACAACATCTCCCTGAGGATGCTGTCACAGTGCCGCAGGTGCTCTGAGAGCTTGCCCTTCTTGCCTGCGTGCTGTGGCACCTCGCCGTCCTCCAGGTCCTTCTTGGGAGGCTTGATGGGACGGCCCCCGCTCTCCCGCCGGGCCACCACTTTGGCCTGCTTAGGGTCCGACAGCGGTGGGGGCGACTCGCTCCGGCTGGCAGTGATGGCGGACGTCGTGGGTGTCGTGGTGTCTGCTTTCCGCTTCACACCCTTCTTCTGCAACAGCAAAACAACAGGTGAGCTCCAGAAACGAGGACCAGAGACGACGATTCGTGGCAGCCACGCATCTGGCCCACCGGCCAGGCGCCGCACTCCCAAGACCACATGCTCGGTCTCGCCTCATCTCCAGCTGTCCCCACACTACAGAGGACCTCAAGGCTCAGAGGGGCTAGGCTGGCAGCCCCAGGTCACACAGCTGGCAGCGATGAGGCTGGGACTCTGAAGCCCTCACCGAGCCCAGGGCCTCTCTCCATCAGCCTGAGCACATGGCTCTCTGTGTGGGCCATGGACCAGGCCTGGTGGGGGCCTTTGGAGCTGCCTGCAGTCCACTGACCCTCACGAGCCCCGGGCCTGCACAGGTAGGGAAGACCTGCTTCTAAAGACCAGAGGGAAGAGCCAGGCAAGGCCCCCCAGACCCGACACAGGTCAAGCAGGGTGGGGAGGGGAGGAGCAGTCCAGGCTGGACACACAGAGCGGCCTAACCAGGAGACACGAAGCAGCCACAGCGGGTTTGAGGCTGAGGGACCACAGGGGCGGCGGGGGTGACCACATCTCCACTGTCCTGCAGGCATGGTTAAATGAGGTGCTGCCCAGCCGTCCGTGGTGGCCTGGGGCAGATAGAGCCGGAGGAGCCCCCATCCCCAGGACCCTGAGCATGTGTCTCCCCATGGCCCACGGGGGCCCAGGGCCCTGACCCAGCTCAGCAGCCCTCTCTCACCAAGAGCGGCCAGCCCAGCTGACAGCACCGGGATCTATTGTCTAGAGCCCCCCACGGTCACTGCCCCAGCCAAGCTGCCACCCTCAGGCTGGCTGGGGTACAAGGTGGCCACCCAGACACTTCCGGGCACCCACGGGAGGCCAAGCACCAAGCACGAGCCGCAGAGGCCCTGGGGAGGGAGGGATAGGCTCATCCGGCTGTGGCAAATGAGACATGCTCCAAAAACCGCCCCGTGCTATGGGAGGGGCCTGGCCAGGTGCCACCCAAGGTGCAGGCAGTGAAGGCCACGGGAGGGGAAAGCGACGGGGGGTGGCATTTTACCTTGGGCGAGCCATTTAACCCTGCGCGCCCGCTTCCTCATCTGTAAGGGGGGACTACTGTCTGCCCCAGAGAGTGGCTGTGGGGATCAAATTGGAGAAGATAACACGCGTGAGTGCCCAGCACGGTCCCCCCTCGAAGCGGGAGGCTCCAGAGGCTCCGCTGGCCCCGACCTTGCAGGGGCACCCATTCCATGGCAGGCCCTCGTGGGAAGCTCCGGGAACAGGGAGCGAAACGCAGGTCCTGACCACACTGGGCAGAGCTGCTGGCTATGGTGCCCTCTCCCGGGGTAATCAGGGGAAGACCTATCCTCGCCAGCCCTCACTGCTGCCCCACGCCTTCCCCACCTGGACTGATGAGCTGCAAAAGCCAGAGGTGCCAGGCCAGAAAAGCCAGGGTTCGAGTCCAGCCCAGCCCTCACCAGCTGTGTGACCTGAAGCCCCGAGCCTCGGTCTCCTCGTCTGCAGAGAGAACCTGTCCAAACTTTATCAGCAGAGCCCCGGCCACCCAATCCTGTTCAACTCCAGAGCCCCATAAGTTGTGGACCCCCTCATTGTCACCCGACGGCCACCTAGGCCTCACGGACGCTCACCTTGACAACGGGTGGCGTGGGAGGGACCACAGGGACGATGGGTGTTGAGGGAGGAGGTGGTGCGGCAGCCGGAGGGACAGGGACCGATGTGATGTTGGCGGTGATGGTTGGAACAGGGGTGGCAGCAATGACGGGCGTCTGGGAGACCGTGGGGGGCACGTTCTGGAAAGGGGCCGCTGGGGACACCGAGGACACGGCCACCACTTGCTGCGTACCTTCAGGACAGACAGGGAGCTCAGCACAGCAGCCCCGTCTCCACCTCCGGAAGTACCTAGGACCCCTCTCCTGCAGCCAGCCAGGCCCCTTTCCCGAGACCCTGCCCAGCCCTGCACCTGGGGCGGAGCTGGTCCTGGCATCTTGCCTAAATGCTCCCTGCACCAAGGAGAGCCCAGGGACTGGGAGAGGTCAGGGCCACCCACAGCTTGGGGACGAGAGGCAGCCCTGGGTGAGTGGGGCTCAGACTCCACCAGTATCGAGCTGAGCATCTGGCTTCCTAACCATGCCCGGGAAGCCACTCTGCCGGCCACGCCTGCACTCCACACTCCCACTCCAGGCCAGACCCAGGGAAGGCTCCTCAACAGGGACACAGTCCTCTCAGCCAGGGAGCAGAACAGGGGACTGCGGTTCCCAGGTCACCAAAAACACAGAGGCAAGATTTGGAGGGGGACAGAAGGTGACCCAGTGACAAGGTCAGCGTCCATGACCCCAGGCCAGCCACCTCTCTGGCGTGGTCCCCAGCCCACGCACAGCCAAGACCTGGCACCTGACGCCCTGGGACACAGCCTGGAGGGGCCAGGGATTCTACCCCCGGCCACCCTGCCCACCACACCTGCCCTTTACCTGCACTCTGTGTCCCCGCAGCCGGTTTCCGGCCTTTGCCCTTCGGAGCAGGGGGTAACAACTCTACTTCCTCCTGGGGCATCTGGGCCACTTTCTGCAGAAAAATTTTCTCTAAGGCTTGGGCCATTAGCACTATGTCATCTGTGGGCTGAAGACAGAGAGCCCGGGTCACTCGCCAGAAAGGAGCCACGCTGGCAAAAGACACTGTTGTAGCTCAAGAAAGCTTTTATTTAAAGTTTGTTAGGAGATTTGATGGGGCAGGAGGGGCAAGACAGATACATTCCAATGAGGAAAATCCTCGGAAAAGACAAACAAGCACTAAGAAAAGGAACTAGGGGAGTGTAGCTCAGGTGGAACACAGCTCAGCACATGTGAGGTCCTGGGTTCCATCCGGGGGAGAAGCCCAGACTCCATCGCATCACACAGAGGGAAAGAGCCTTCCTCAGCTCAGCGCACCTGCAGTCTTTGTATTTCAGTCACGTCACTATTAAAAAATACCAAGCCGAACCAGGCATGGTGGTGCACACCTATAATCCCAGCACTCAGGAAGCTGAGGCAGGAGGACCACCATGAGTTGGACGCCAGCTTGGGCTACCCAGTGAGTTTTAGGCCAGCCTGAACTACAGGCAGGACCTTGTCTCAAAAACAAAAACCCCACAAAACTAGGCTCACACAAACTTCCTCCTCTGCTCCCTCGCCAGGCACCTCTGCCCTGGTCATTGGCTCAGCCACCTCCTGCTGGCAGGCTGGGCTCTGCCCTCTGCACTGGCTTCTTAGGACTAATAAGGGTGGCATTTCAGGCCAAGGGTAAAGACATCTTACAGCCCGTGGGCCATATCCAGGGTCCACTGTGTCCAGTGGCCATCCGGGACCACTCTGACCCACTAGGCGCCAGCCAGCCTCGGGGTACCCCCAGTCAGACCCACCCAAGGATCCGGGCCGCACGCATCGGTCTTCTTACCTTGTTATAAATATAACAATTTGTAAACATGGTGTTGAAGTCCTGCATACATTCACTCGCGCTCCAATAATAATTATTTTCTAGTCTCTTCTTAATAGTCCCCATATCCATTGGGTTTTTTATTATTTTATGATAATCCTAGGAAAGAAACGTTCAGAGGTGTTACCAGTGGACTTCCATCATCACGGGGGACCTGTGAGTCAGCTGAGGCGGGTGGGCTTGGGATCCAACTCGGGCCAACTCTCTCGTGCCCTTAGGGCTGGAGCCAGGCAGACCCCAGCTGGTCTAGGGCTCTAAGCCCTCAGGGAGCCAGGATCCACACTGGGCTGGCCCCAGGCTACTCATTGTGACTCTCTCTACTTGGGTCCAGATCAAAACCAGGTGTAGCTGTGGGCGCCACTGCCTGGAAAGCAGCCTTAATGCGCTTGGCGCCTGACTGCCTGACCCAGAGTGGGCTCTGCTAAAGGAATAAAGACCCGGGGCCGCTTGCCCGCCCTGCCTGGCTTCTTCTAGCCCTCTCCCCGGAGGCTGGGAACCCTCTCAATTTCCTGTTCCTGGGGCAGCCACCTGCTCTCCTGTAGCCAGGACCCCTGTCCCTCCACCCTGGGGTTGCTGACTGTGCCGCTGGACTGCAGGCTTCCCGCCGATCAGGCTGCCCGGGTCGAGGCCAGAGGGCTGAGCTCCTAGGAGTGACCATCCGGGACGCAGGACTACTCACAGGCAGGTTCAGCTTGATAGCGTCCACAGGCTGGTAGAAGGGCCAGGCGAACTGGTGCTTCCACAGCGTCTTCACCACCACATTCTGCATGTACTGCAGCTGGTTGGTCTTGCGGCCGGGCTTGCCAGGATTGGACACCTCAGGTGGGGGCGGATTCACGGGGCCCGGAGCCGCCGGGATGCCCGCAGGGGCGGCTGCCGCGGTGGTGGACATCCTCCAGCAGCTGCTCACTGGCCGCCACAGCCACGGCACACAGAGGCCCGGCCCTCTTCCGTGCTCCCCAAGGAGGCTCGGGCTCCCATTTCCAGGCCTGATCAGGCACCACCTGCAGAGAGAGGGCCAGAGAGAGGCTGTCAGCTGGGAGCCCACCCTCACCATCCACAGGGACACTGCCCAGTCCTGAAAGGCCACTGGCCTTCCCGCCCACCCAGACACGTGGCTGTCACCTGTCACAGAGCAATTCTCCAACCACTGGTGCCCGACAGAGAACCAGATGGTGGGGGCAATGCAGGCACAGCCCACCTGCACCCAGGCGAACAGTGTGGTGCGACTCAGCTCACTGCCCACAGTGCCACCCACTTGCGGGAGGCCAACATGCCCTCATTACACTCCCTCCGCGATTCCCAGCTGTGGACAATTCATGCAGAGAACTCCAACACAGGCCCACGAGACGGGCGGAAGCAGCACAACCCCGACATTCGTGGACCGTCACCCTACACCGGACGACATGCAAGGTTCTAAGGTAACTGGGAGAACGGCCAGGGTCTGTGATGGCAGGCGGCTGTGACACGCCAGGCCCCGGCCAATCAGGACGGCAAGAGGGCAGCTCGGACCCTGCAGCCGTCCTGTCTGTGTCCCCAGGTCTCAGGCTGTCTCTTAGACTCTCTGGGCCCAGGGCGGGCCAGGAATGCCAGCCACAGAGCTGAGCGGCTGCAGCAGCCCTGCAGGTCCTCAGAAAGGCAGGACCATCGGAAAGCAGGAGCACAGAACAGCACAGCCCACACGCCACCCCAGTGGCTCAGACCCCTTGCTCTCCAAAGAGACAGCAAAGGCCAGGACAGACTCCACACTGAACACAGGACCTCCTTTACCCAAGACCCCATGCCACCATTTAGGTCCCACTGTGCTGTATCTGCAGCACCCAGATGATCGGGGCAGCACCCAAGGAGCTGGCTGCTACTTGCTGCTAGACCCAGCCACCTTTAAGACTGGCGAGAGCCAACCAGCACACCGCTGGAAGGAACCCAGCACCTGAGAACCAGCTGATGTCCCGCTGGCCCCTGCACTTGGCTGGGGCAGGCATGTGGACACCACAGATGGCAGCATCGCTGCACACCGAGCCTCTTCTCCCCAGAGAGCTGAGTGTTGCGCACCTGCGCCCACTCCCGGCAGGTGGCAGGTTTGAGGCCTCCCCCGCATCTGCATCAGGTGCCCGGGAAGCACTCCTGATGCAGGGCTCCCATTCAGCCTGCACAGCTCCCAGGTTCTCTCCAGGCAGGCAAGCAAGGCCTGGGGTGGTGGCTCCAGCTTATGCCATCTCCAGACCAAAGGCTGCCTGGGTGCCAGCCTGGGTCATCCTCGGGGCCTTTTCCCAGCTCCAGCGCCACCACCTCTCTGGATGACACCAGTGACAACCAGGCCTGGCAGCAGGAGGGCTCCCATCTTTGTGATGCTGGACCATGTGTCAGCTCAAAACTTCCAGGGCTCCACCGGCTCCTCCTCCCTCACAACTGGCAGCAGCCTGGGACCCCACTGGCAACCGAGCAGCATGCAGCTGCAAAGTAGATGCCAGGGCAGCCCTGGCCCTGACCTGTGCCCCCACTTCCCCACAGGGCTCCGAGGTGACTATGGCTGGGGGAACCTGGAACCCAGGGGCAACCAGCATGTGAGGGCCCGGGACCCATAGCCAGTCCCCTGCTGCATGGCCCAGGGAGCGGGGCACAGGGCAGAGACTGACCTGGGAGTAAAGGGCACCAGGAGGTGCTGGGGTGCAGGCAGGTGCCCCATCCATGGGAGAGCTCAGTGGGGCCGGGGCAGAGCCCCAGGAGAGGCTGGGCTTTGCCCTCCCTAACAGACCAGGCCGTGTCCCCATGGGATGCCATGTAGGGAACCGGGAAGAACAAGGCAACCCCGGGGGGCAGGGGCACAGAGGGTGGCCTCCTGGCCCAGTGTGGCCCCACAGGGTAAGGGATGCTTCCACATAGCATAATTCAGGCAGTCTGGCCCCGAGCTGAGCCAGAAACAGACGAGGCAGACAGCACACGGGACACAGAGACTTCAAGCAAGACAAAAAGGGCCTGGCGTGGCCCTGCAGCAGCCCCAAGCACCCTCCCAGAGCTAGTGCCTGCAGGCCACTAGCACATGGCAGGACCATCATCCCCAGCAGGCTCGGCTCCCCTACAGAGTGAGGTCAGCAGAACCAACCAGGGACCAGCAAGACACCCAGGTGACCCTGAGGACAAACTGAGGGTCACGAACTTCACGCCCATGGTGCAGGACCCTCTAGCTCTGTTTCTGGGGGAACAGAGACATCACAGCACAAGGGTGGGGTGGGGCCCAGGACCATGCATCTCCACATCCTGGGCCCCAGGAATGAAGGCAACCCCAGGACAAGAGGACCTGGGACGCTGATGAACGAGGACAGAGAAGCTCAGGATGCAGACACACAGCCACGGAGAAGGACACGGGCACCAGGCTGTAGAGCCCAGTGCCCACTGCAGGCCAGACTACTGAGCCCGAGCCTTATCTGTGAATGAAACAGCAGCTAGTACAGGTGGTGCTCACCTGTACTCCTAGCTACTCAGAAGGCTGAGGCCTGTGACTTTGAGGGCTGCAACTCTGAGGACTGCCAGGAATCTCAGGGACAAAGAGTTTGTCTCAAAATGTGAAAAGAACTGGGTTGCACCTCAGGAGTAGAGATCCCCTGGGCTCAACCTTCAGCACTGTAAAGCAAAAAAGAAAAAAGACAGACAGACATAGGAGGCCTGAGTGCTCCGATGGCCGTCATTCAGCAAGTGTCTCCCGTCATGGCCCACACCCACTGCTCCCTACCTGAAGGTGTTTGTGGGATGGACACCCTGGCTAGTGGCTGGTGACAATGGCCTGTGAGGGAAGATAGGAAGGGTCCCCAGCTCACAAGGGGGAGGACTCAGAGGCCCCGGGGTGCGCGTGTCTGACACTCAGATGTGCAGCACATCTGCCCCAAGCCAGCACGCCTGGCTCTTCTCCAGCTGCAGAAACAGGGGACCCAGCAGCACTGGTGGGGCAGCCAGCCCCTCCCTCACGTGCCCCTCCCCGCACGGCCCGACCCCCCCACCCAGCACCCCTTGGGCCTGCAGGGGCCACTGTCAAGCTCACAGATTCCAGAAAGACAAACCAGGGCGCAGGGCATCCACAGCAGGTGGGACAATCCTCCTCCACACCCCTGCCTCAAATAAAGCAGGGTTCTCCAGAACAGGCAGCCTGTCACCTGGCGCTCTCGGATGCTACTGGGAGTTATTTCAACTCCAGGGTTTGGGATGTGCAGGGCAGGGGCCCTGCATCCACACGCAGGCCTTGGGCTGCTTTGCTGGAAGGCTCGAAGGGGAGCAAATGGAGGCCGCTGATCCCGCGCACTGATGCTTAGAGAGTGACAGTGTCGAAGCTGGAAGTTCTGAGATGTGCTCTTACATGTGCATCCTCAGAGCCCCACAGGCAGCTGTGCCTGGAGCTTGCTGCTAGTAAGGGGGGAGAACGAAAGCAAGGGGGGCCTGGGCAAAGTGGGCTGGAACCCTGTGGTGGTCCCACACCTGAAGCACAAAGGGAAGAGGGTGCCGCCCGCAACCCAACAACTTCAAGAACAGGCACCGGGACCTTGCTTCCCAAGAAGCCAGATGGACTCATGTGGGGTCCATCAAAGGGGAGGTGGGTAGACATTCATGCCTGTGAGCCACAGCTCTCCAGTGCAGCCACCCACTTCCAGGGGAATGGGGGTCTTCTTGCTCCTTCCCTGGGGTAGGAGAGGAAAAGGGTAAAACCCAGGGCAATGACGTCCCATGTTCACACTTCGAGTGGCAAAGGAGCAGGTGGTGCCTGGCTCACTCATCTTCCTCACTGCCACTCAGCTCTTTACTGCAGATGGCAACCTGGCCTCACCAGCCAGCCCAGAAGGGAGAGGCGGCCACCCTCAGGGGGACAGCGAGGCCAGACATGATCCTATTGCTCTGCCAAACCTCCGCTCTGACCAGGTGCAGCAGGAAACTGAGGCTCTGAGACCCTCCCTGATGCCCTGCACCCCCGGTCTCCTGTTCAGCAGACAGCCAACTGAGGAGCCCACACAGTGGGCCCATGGGCCAGCAGAGGCGAGGAGGCCGTGGTGCGCGGGGAGGTGAAAGTCAGTTGCCTTCCCCAGAAGCTCCCAAACACCCTGGGGAGAACTCATATAAACCACAAGAGTCCTCGAGCACAGGGGAGAGCCCAGGTCAGGGGCAACACCTCCAGCAGCAGCCGCGAAGCTCCCGACTGCCGACAGCGCCATCCCTGCCCTGGCACATCCCCCATCCAGCAGGGGACTGCAGGAGGGGCCCGGCACAGGCTGGACTGTGCTGTGCTGGGCAGAGCAAAGGCCCAGATCCTGGCTGGTGGCCTTGGGCAGGCCACCTCCCCTGACTCTCCCCAGGTCTGGGGCCTCACTTTCCTCCTCCACAGGGCATAGAGGACCTAAAGGACAAGCTGAGATCCAGCCCCCAAGGCTCAGCTGGCCCAGAGGGACATAGCAACAGGAGAGGCGAGGGTTACTTTAGGAGCATCGACAGCCAGGGGAGGGCGCAGGGACTTTGCACTTGTCACTGTGCGGGACACCCACAAAGATGGGCAGTAGCTCCAGCCCTTCCTGAAGGAAAGGAGACCCCACTTCCAGAAGAAGCCAAGCCAGGAGGGCTGTGAGGGAAGGGCAGCCCAACTCCACAGGGATGCACAGGCCTGGGGAACTGAGCCTGACTGGTGGCCAGGAGAGTACCGGTGAACAGGGGGGTGCCAGGAGCACTAGGGAGGAGGTGACAGCACAGGCCAGACACCAGAGGGTGCTAGCAGCACAAGGACAGGCAGCAGGGCAGGCAGAGGCAGAAGAGAGGCCGGGTGCCCAACTCAGCCCCGGAGGCAGCTGGGACCCCCACCTGTGTCGCTCAAGTCTGCCATCAATACCAGCCATGGATACCCTCAACGAGGCGGTCTCCTGGGGGCCACTGTACCCCCAGGACTCCTGCACTAGAGGCCTCTGTACTCCTGAACATCCCACACCAGGGGTACTGGGTCGAGTGGGTGCTCCTTAGCCGGACCTCTGTGCCCCTTGGGTCCCAGCACCACTGAGAGGCCCCACGTCAGCTCTGCCTTCCAGAAGGGGAAGGGGACTCCGAGGAGGGGCAGGCACGAGGCCCCCCAGCCAAGAGAAGCCATAGCCAGGCCTGAACAGGGCCATCCACCCACCGCCAGATCCATACCCTCCCCAGAAAGGCCCCGTCACCATGCTATGGCGCTCTGGCCCGGCACAGGGAGCCCAGGGGTGGCCACCCTGAGCCAGACCCCAGGTCTGGAAACCAGATCCATGACAGGCGGCTCTGCTGACGGACAGAGCCAACTGCTTCCTTCTGCGCAGCCGTGCGGAACTGGGGTCTGGGGCCCCAGGGCGGGGCAGAGAGGCGCATGGGCGGGGACCCCTAGCCCAGCAGCCTGGGCACCCAAGCTGGCCCTGACCAGCAGATGCCCAACCCTGCCTGGCAGGGGCACTAGCTCCAGCAGGCCCAGCTCTGCCATGCAGGGCATACTGCTGTCCCTGCAGGCTTGGCCTAAGGTGAGCAGCTGCCATCCACACGTCTCCACTCACCTGCACTCTCACCTCTGAGAGGCACCAGGCTACTCTTGATGCCCCAAGACAAGCAAACAGCCACAAAAAGACCCTTCACAGCAGAGGGCAGGCATGAGGGTGCACACCTGTAATCCCAGCACTCTGGGAGGCTGAGGCAGGACCACCAGTTCAAGCCCCCCCCAGGGCCACTTAGCGAGACCTGACCTTAAAATAAAAAATGAGCAGGGACTGTAGCTCAGTGTGGAGACCCTGCATTCCATCTCATTTCACAACCCAAAAAGGACACTTCCAGCCTGGTTCCTGAGAAGTAAGAGAAATGATGCACACTTGGTGGAGAATCCTCACTCTGGGGCCAAGAGCACCTCTGGGCCAAGGCCACCCAAGGCCACAGCCACACCACAGCCTTCCACGGCTGCCTCAGAGGAGCAGAGGAGAGGAAGACACTCAGCCGGGAGGGGTGGGGCGCTGCCCTGGGTCAGGCAGCGGAGGAGCACTTTCCACGGAGGCCCAGCAGCTGAGACCAATGAGCTCTCCTGAAAGTGGCAGGGTCCATCGGCCGTGCTCCCCATGAGCAGCTGACGAGAACCCAAGTCGAGGCCCTCCTGCTTGACAGCTGGGAAAGCTAAGGCTAGGAAGGGGCCCTGCCTTGCCCTGGGCGCTGGGCCCACCCTGCGAGACCCATGGCATCCACCTGCACCAGTCACCACCACAGTGAACACACTCCCATGACCTGGGTGCGTCAGCTGGGGTCAGGAGGAAGCTGCCACCAAGCACCAGCCGCCTACTCCAAAGCTGTGAGCACCTGAGAAGGAGCCACCACCATCATCCCATCTGACAGGTGGACTGGAAGGCTGAGACAGGAACGTCTGAAGCTGAGAAGCCTCAGAGAGCCAGGAACCCAGGGCCACTACTTCCCCCTGGCCAGCTGTCAAAGGATGGCCAACCCATCCTGTCCTCACTCTGTTGCCGAAAGACAGGCCCAGGGCCCTGCCAGGACAGGCTCGGGCAGAGCTAAGAACTGGGAACACAGCCCATAGCCCGAAGTGCCCCAGTGCACACACCTGCCCTGGCACAGGTGGGCACCAGCGAGGGTCTGGTCAGCTCCCCCTCACCCCCATTAGGGGTGAAGCAGCAGCAGGGACAGGGGGCTGGACCATCAGGCCACACTGCCCAAGGATGCAGCTCCTGCACCACTCATGGCCCACGTGTCCCCTGCACCAGACCCCATGAGCACCAATGGGACAAGCTGGCACCACAGGCAGAATGCAGTCATCCCCAGACCCGCAGACCCCAGGGCCAGACCCTGAGCCCCAGCTTCTCACAATGGCTCGGTACTGTGACACGGACTTCCCTTCCGCCCCAGATTCCAGGCCACACCAGGGTCCTCCTCCTCAGATTATGCAAGGCATCTGGATGTCACTTCCAGCAACACCAAGACACTTGTTACCAAGCCAAAGTCCCAGCTACACTGGGCCACACCTGACCAGGAGCCAGGCAGCGGAAGTCCCCTCCTACACCTTGCCAGCTCCTGATAGACTCAGCAGAAGCTGGCGCCTGGGACCGGAAGGAGCCTTCTTAAGGTGCACTTGCAACTCCAGGTTATTGAGGCCTGGCTGCAGGTACTCAATGACGACAGCTCCAAAACAACAGAACCAAGACCTCCGGCCACACACATACACGCACGCACGCGCGCGCGCGCGCGCGCGGGCAGGCCCAGACCCCCAGCTTCACTGTGAGCATGGGTCTGGACTGGCCAAGTGGATCCATCCATTTCTGTGTGATGGATGTGTGCTTCGTCCCGTGCGAGGAGCCCTCCAGCAGCTGAGCCGTGGGGCACCCCGACCCTGGGGTGCCCGTCACCAAGGTGCGATGCTAAGAAAGCACCGCCCTCCAGCCAGACTCCAGCCTTGGGCTCGGTCACTCACAGGAGTAGCTGTGGCCTCCACCACACACACTGGCCAAGAGCGAGGCTGTTTTTGCCAAACCTGAAGCCCCAGTGCTCAGCCGTGTCCTCGTCTGCTCAAAGGAGGGCGTGGAGCCTCAGGAGGTTGGGGGAGCCCCAGGCCAGCCAAGGGGTCAGGACCCCATAAGTTGCAA